TTGATGGAGATTTCTGCCAAAAAGAAGGAAAAATAGAAGGTAAATCCATATATTTCTTCCTTCAAAAATCAGAGGAAAGATAATTGGGAATAAAGTTCCGTTTTGGAAGATTTTCTAAGAGGATGGTGAAATTGGACTCTTTTGTCAACATTTTCCCAACAACTGCAGTCTCCATATGGAGCAGCTCTTTCTAGGTGACGCATCACCCACCGCTTTTACCATCAGCCAGGCCTGATTCTCATCTTGCTCCTCATGGGTCAAGCCACAAAATGAAGCTTTGCCCCTCTTCTTTCGTGTGCTATCAGAATGAGACCAACAGGACTGCTTCCCACCAATGAGCAGGAGAGGATTTAGATGCATGACATTCAAAGTCAGGTGAAGCCTGTAGGACTGGTGGGGCATTAGCTAGAGAAGTCTGATAAAGTTTTTCCATTGTTAGAAATAGAGCAAGGGAAAGACATCCCAAGAGTGATTTCCTTGAACACTACTACGTCTTTTGAACGTCCTAGTGATTGCAGAGAAATGTTGCCCTCCACCAGTGTTATGAAGGCAATCAATCCTTCTGTACGGGCACAATGTGAACAGTTTTCATGGGCTTGGTAAGTGGCAGCCCAAATCAAAAGCCTCCTTCTTCAGAGGAGATTCAAACCGCAATCCATGGCCAGTAGCAGTAATTGAAACCCTCTTTCTGAAAGAGTTGGCGGGTGATGAAACCCAGTACGGATGGCTGTGTTCTGCCTCTCGAATCCCCTCCCACCACCCTGCAATAAACTGAGTTTTGCTGGGGGTGGGGGGTTTAGCTTCTCTGGCACAAGAGTTTCCTTTGTTGATAGGAGCTGGGTCTCCTCTAGGGGACTGGGCCGATCCAGCTGTACTGGCAAAGCCTTTGTAACGTTGAGCAACTCAAGTGTAGACCTGTAATGGGTGCCTGCCTGAACCTTTGCTGGCACATCAATAGGGCCAGAGCTGAGCGAAGTTAAACGACCCCATGCTGGAGAAGTGCCACACGTAGGAGCCAGCAAGCATCTGTGTTACTGATCCAATGCGGCGCTTGAAACGTCTTTGGACTTCTTTTCAGTGAGGTTTGCCTATTTCAGTAGTTGTGTGTGCAGTGAGTAGCTGGAAGAGCCAGTCCTTGGCTGGGGCTGTTGGAGGTGTAACCGTGGTTTCACATCAAGTATGGCCATGCTTGCCCAGTTAAGGCAGTATCTTTCTGGCACAAACTGAAGCCCTGGAAGCACTCCCTGCCCATCAGGCAGCTCTGCTGTGTGGGTGCACAGGTTGCCCAGAGAGGTCAAGGGGTCTCCTCCTCGGAGACATTCTAAAGCCACCTTCACGTTGACCTAAGCACCCTGTTCTGGCTGTCCCTGCTGGAGCAGGGTCGGGCCGGAGGGGCACAAAGACCCCTGCCAACCGCAGCCATGCTGTGATGAAGACGGAAGCCTGAAGGCTGGGGAATGGATATTTCCCTCTGGGAAAAGGCAATGCCCCGGCCCAGCCTGGGAGGAGGCTCATTGTCATGGAGAACTGCCCATCGCATGGCCTTGGCATTCGGAGGAGAGGGGATTCAGAGTGGGACCAGCAGGCTAATTGCCTTTGTCTTCTCCCTCCTTCAAATGGGGAATCACAGTAAATCCCCCAAACCCATGACAATAGTCCTACTGCTTTTAAATGTCTTTCGTTAAACTGAATCCTCTTGTCCTCCCTCTCCCAAGACCTGGGTGTTGTTCATTAAAAGAAGAACCTCTTGTAATGACAAAAGGAAACCTAAAAAGGCTGCCATTAGCTCATTATCTCAGCTCCCTCCTGCATGGTAGGTGCCTATTTGCTGAATGCTACTCCCAAGTGTCCCTTGGGCAGGTTCCTTTATCATGAGTGCCCCGGCCGTGCAGAGATGTGTCCGCGGGAGACCTGATCTCTGCTGCGGGGTCACTTTCCCTGTAGGGAGAAGGATTTGCTGCAATGGGGACCTGCCAAAATCATCCTCCAGCCCATCACCGCCCCTCCGGATTGGGGCTGGTGTACTGTGGTGGGTGAACTTTTCCCATGCTTTGCTTGTCTAGGTTCTGTCTATGAGACCAGTCAGTCAATGTGCCATGAAACATTTTGGAATATTTGCTGAGGACAGACTGTCAGAGTCTAGCAATGCAAATTTAATCTTGAAGATTTGGGATCTTCAAGAGTAAGTATGGGATATTAAGAAAAAATTCTTCTCTGGCCAAGCTGCCCAGGGAGGTGTTGGAGTCACTGTCCCTGGGGGTATTTAAGATCTGTGGAGATGTGGCACTGAGGGACATGGTTATGGGCATGCTGGGGATGGGTTGGTGGTTGGACTAGGTGATTTTAGTGGTCTCTTCCAACCTTGATGATTCTATGATTATCTGAAATGTTTATTGGTACTATCTGCAGAAACATACGGCTGATATCTGCAGGAACATACGGAAGTGGAAGAAAGTAAAACATGAAATTAATCTTCTGCTTGGAAGAACATGAGCTGGACGCATGAAAATATCCTAGAGTGGCCCATTGCTTGCTAAGGTTTGACAACAGGATGATGGAGCTGAGAAGGGGTGAAACAGGCACATGGATACATGAATAAGCAATTCCTGGCTTCACTTAAGAACTGGTTCTAAAACTTGCCAAGCGTTGGAAATCCCTCCACCATTTTTAGATCAAACCCAAATAAAGCTGTCCCACACCTGCTGTGATTGAATCATAGAATCATAGAATCGTTTGAGTTGGAAGGTACAGTTAGAGGCCAACTGGTCCAACCCCCCTGCAGTGAACAGGAACTCCTTCAGCTCCATCAGGTGCTCAGAGTCCCATCCAGCCTGGCTTTGAGTGTGTCCAGGGATGGGGCATCCACTACCTCTCTGGGAAACCTGTGCCAGTCTCTCACCAACCTTACTGTAAAAAACATCCTTATATCCAATCTCAATCTCCCCATTTCCCTTTGTCTTGTGAAGGAACTTGGGTAGGATGTGCTGACCACCTTGGCATTTTGCTAGTGGCAATCTGCCCTCTCTCTCCCATTATCAGTACCTCTGCATCACCTGAAACACAGTTAAAAATCAAGACACGGAGGAATTATCCCTAAAGCCAGGAAGATTGTATCTCTGTTGGGGAGGGGAGAGCAAGAGAGGGATGAGGCAGGAGTTGCCGCTCGCCCACTGGTCTCAGCTATTGCACAAACAGTGACTGGCCATTGCAGGGGAAAGTACTTGGTCCCAGTCCCAAGCACATGGATGTCATCTGACATTTCGTCATGGCTTCATTATATTTTAGATCAGGCCAGTGATTCATCTTGCATTACTGCCATACATGTTGAGCAGGTAGCCAGTGAAGAGGCACTGCATCACACTGCCAACGATTTTATTTTCTAAATAGCCGGCGGAGATGGCCTTACATCATTCCAGATGCACATACAGTTAATAGATGCGATTTCATGCTTAACTTCAGTGCTGATGCTACATTCCTCTGGAAGAAATTTATGTTCCATGGCTGCACACGGAACCCAGCAAACAGTGTATGCAAACAGCAAGAACTGGGGATTAATGGTTTTGCATAAGGGATGCTGTAGGAAGGATTCTCAGTAGTGTGTTTATAGTGGAGGGCTCAACCTGGCCTGCCAGGTGACCCGTCTTTTTAGGCAGGTGCATTCTGATCTGAAAAACTGATTTGCAAAATGGATGAGGGTCAGCCAAGCTCAGCCTTGGTGCTCCCCGCTTGCCAGCACTGCACTGGAACCAGCCCTGTTTCTTTTCCTTTTGCAAGCTTTTATTATTTCGATTAAACCAGGCTGAAAAGAGACAGTTGTCATTCAGATGACAGTCAAAAACAAACAAACACAAAGCCCAGAATGCCCACTTCGCACGGGGAGACCACAAAAGGCAGCAAATCAGCTCATGTGCATCTCCTCTGGGCAGCCTTCTTTGTCTTCCTGCAGATGAAATTGTTCACAAGTCTTTGCTCCTTTCATCCCAAACCCTGCGAAAGCAAAACCTGTCTCCCACAGAGCTCCAGAATGCCTCAAACACATTGAGGAAGAAACAGGCAGAAATCTACCACATTTTATTCCCAACAGCTGTTCAGCCTGAAAAGTTTTATTAATGCGCTAACAAACAAAAACAAAACCAACAAAAATAATCAAAACCAACGAAACAACCAAAAAAGAAGGGGGAAACGGAGTAAAATAAACTTTAACCAAGTTGAAAACATTATAAATAAGTACAGCTCCAGAGCATAATTTACAAATATAAAACCACATAGAAACATATGTACAGGAGAGTTACATTACATACAAATATGTATAAAAATACCCCAGTGTTTATTCTCGTGCTAAAGCTGCAAGGCTAGAGTTATCTTTGGTACTAAGCTCAGAGGAAAAGGTGGCTGTACAAAAACACGGCCCTACCTGCACAGCGTGCCATACACGGGATGGCAGAGCAAACCTCTTGGGGAGCTTGAGGAGATTTTGGGCAGCTGTTTTCCCAACCTGTCCCCTCCCTGTGCATCACATATTGCAGGACCAGGGCAGGAAGGGCTGACAGAGGCAATCGCTGGCAGAAGAGTTTTTAATACATTGTACAAGGCACTTCATAGGAAATCTCTTCATTATTTTTTTTTTTCCTGTTCTCTTCTAAGACTCACAGAACATCTACGCACGGCTCTTGCTGACATAGCGTTTTATGATTATATTTTTTTCAACTTCTTATTCTACATTCAAGATTAAAAACATCTGAAAATGTTCAGTTCACTTTCATTGGCAGAATGGACCCAAAGCACCTAACATTTTCCAGGACGGGGAAAAGATTTTGCATCTGTCTTCCGCTGGTGTTTGTGGGGTGTTTTTGCTTGGAAAGATGAGAAGATCTGTCTTCCTGGATGAACTCCCGGGAAGCGTCCACATTGAAATGCTGTTTGCAAAAGCACGCTGTCCTCCACGCTGCCACGCACACACCTGCACCTCCCATTCCCTTTGCAGCACTGCCCCGGCAATCCTACACCTCCGTTCCATCCCGGGTGTAGATGAGGCTGTTGACTGTGAAGTTGTAGTAGTGGTTGTACTGGGCGCCCTGGCTGCCGCTGCTGGGATGGAAGGAGCTGTAGTAGGCAGGGGAAGGTCCCGCCACTCGCTGCAGCTGTTCTGGTGAAGGCACCTCTTGAGATGAGCTGCTGGAAGGGGTGAAAGTGCCACTGCTCAGCTGTCCAGCAGAGAAGTTCCTGTGATGCAGGTCAGTGCTGAGCCCCCCCGTCAGCCGGCTGCCCCCGCCGCTCAGCGAGCTCATGCCGCTGAAGAAGGTGCTGAGGCAGCTCGGGGTGGATGAAATGATACTGGAGGGAGAGGAGCTTTTGGGATGGTCCCTGGCAGAAGGCGATGGGTCCAGCTCTGGGGGTGGGCTGTTTCCACAGGGTTTGCCTGCGGCTGGAATGGGTCGCTCTTCTTCGGCCTTCAGGCCCCCGAGCGAGGAGGCCGCAGCCGTGGTCGCGGGGGTGTTGGGCTCTGAGCGTCGCTTGCGCTTGCGCCGGAAGTTCCCGTTGTCAAACATCTTCTCACAGTTGGGATCTAAGGTCCAGTAGTTTCCTTTTCCTGGTGGAAAACAGGAGAAGCAAGAGAGAAAGTCAGCTTCTGTGACAGAGAGCCCTGCTGCAGAGGGATACACGGTATCCATGCTTTGCCCAACCAGCGCAGCACCCACACCTGCTCCTCCTCTGCCTGTTGTCTAGTACAAGAATCCAAAACCTGGCCCTAAAAACATCATCACCCCCTCCCATGCAATGCCCAAGTGAACGTTAAGGCCACATGGACAAGGGGATTCCCCACCACAGCTTCAATCTCTACTTCAGACCTGCCTGAAGGGAACACAAAGCAGGGCTTCCTTGGCTGTGGGTGACTCTTGGCAAGCAGGGATACCCACATCTGCAGCATGGCAAACATAGTGGAGACCCTGCCATGGCTCTTCTCAGAAGAGCTGATGGAAGGATAGGCCAAGAGGTAATGGCTTCAAGTTGCACCAGGGGAGGTTTAGGTTGGATATTAGGAAAAATGTCGTCTCTGAAAGAGTGGTAGTGCATTGGAACAGAGATGGTGGAGTCACCATCCATGGAGATATGGCACTGAGGGACATCGCTTTGTGGGCACGGTGGTGATGGGCTGACAGCTGGACTCGACTTGAGAGGTCTTTTCCAACCTTAATGATTCTATAATTCTATGAAAGACGGGTTAAAGCTGCCCTATGCCCACTACTTTGTTCCAGGGGGCTGTGGTGCCATTACCTGCCTCCACACAGCTAATGGGAGCCATGGCCTTGCTGTGTCCCCTCAGAAGTCCCAGCCCTGAATGTTCCCATCCCACTCAGCACTGTCCCAGCACACCCCTACGCTACACCCACTCCTGGGCACCAGCTGTGCCCCGGGGACAGGCCGGCGAGAGCTGGGCAGGGAGGGGAGCCGTGAATCACGGCCAAAGGATCCAGGCCTTGCACAACCAGCCCTCGTGGCCTCAGCCCACCCGGCCTGCCCAGACAGGGGGACTGAGGACTGGGGCCAGCTGCCATCCCCTGCAGGAAGCAGTGGTAGACCCAAGGAGGGCAAAAGGAGCTCGATCTCCTCAGAAGGGGACAAAAGGTGGGAGAGCTCCTCAAAGCCCAGGCTTGGAGGGGCTGAGGGCACCTGATCTCTTCATAGTGGTGGGGATAAGGGAGCCTGGGGATTGCCATGAGTGGACAAGGGAGCCTGGGTTCCTCACAGGGATGGCTGTGAGTGACCGAAGGAGCATGGGCTCCTCAGCACTGAGCTCATGGGGTGCAATCAAAGGGATGGCTACGAAGGACAAGGAGAGCATGGTCTCCTCACGTGGATGATCACTGAAGGGACAAGGGAGCTCCTCAGAGGGTTGGTCAGGAGGGGTACAAGGACCTGAGTCCCCACACAGTGATGGCCGTGAGGGAATGAGGGAACACGTGAGCCTGGTTCTCTCACGGGGATGGCAATGGCGGGGTAAAGGAGATGGTCTCCTCATAGGGATGAACACGATGGAGCACAGCCCTCTCGTAGGGGTGGCTACGAGTGGACAACAGAGCACTGTCCCCCCATAGGGATGGTCACGAGAGGACAAGGGAGACCAGTCCTCTCACAGGTATGGATATAAGGGGACAAGGGAGCCCGGGGACCGCACAGGGAAGAGCCCACACTCCCGCATCCCCTCACATCCCCGTCCGGGGGCTCCGCGCCGCCGCCCGCCCCCCATCCTCACCGGGGTCGTCCTCGTCACGGGGCACCTTGCGGAAGCAGTCGTTGAGGCTGAGGTTGTGGCGGATGCTGTTCTGCCAGCCCGCCTTGCTGCGCTTGTAGAAGGGGAAGTTCTCGGCCACGTACTGGTAGATGTGGCTGAGGGTGAGCTTCCTCTCGGGGGCACTCTGGATGGCCATGGCGATGAGCGCCGAGTAGGAGTAGGGCGGCCGCACCAGCTTCAGCAGCTCCTCCTGGCTCGCCAGGCTCAGCCAGCTCAGCTCCGCGCCGCCCGCCGACGGCGACCCGGGCCCCGAGGGCGAGCCCACCAGCTGGCCGCCCCGCGAGCAGCCGTACGAGGCAGGCGGCAGGAAGGGCGACGCGGCGGCCCCGGAGCCGGGCGGGCCCTGCAGGTACGGCGCGGGGCTGTTCATGCCCCACAGGTAGCCGGCGTTAGCGGGAGCCCCGTAGTCCCCCAGCGCGTAGCCTCCCGCCCGTTGCCCCGACGAAGCGGCGGCAGCGGCGGCGGCGGCGGCGGCCGCGGCGGCGGCGGCGGCGGCGCCGGGCGGGTGGAGGCTGGGCTGGGGGTAAACGCTGAAGTTCTCGCTGCAGTACACCGCCATCTCGGGGGCCTCCTGAGCGCTGCGGGGCTGCGGGGGCACGGGGGCGGCCGCCGGCGCCGAGGGTCTGGGCTGAGCCTGCTGCAACTCACCGGCGCTCATAATCCCTCGGCCATGCAGGGCGGCTCGCGGCTCCTTACCCCCCCCGCCCGCCCCGGGCCCCCCCCCCCCCCCGGCCGTCAAACCTCCCCTTTCGTCGGACCCCCCAAAATCCCAGGGGGGCTGAGAAGCGGCGGCCTTATAGGCGCTGCCTTGCGGGGCCGGCCGGGCGGGGAGCAGCCAGCGGGGCGGGGAGGGAGGCGGGGAGGGGGGGGCGAGGCCGGGCCCCAAAAGCGGCCATAGGGGAGGGACCTGGGGTGTGTCGGGGTGTGGGTGTGTGGGGTGGGGGGGTTGGATCCCGGCTGGATGGCCGAGGGGGTGCGGGGAGCTTCCCCCTGTGGCCGTGAGTCCCTGCTATCCATCAGCCCCGATCCGAACTTCGGGAGGTTTGGTGCAGATGAGCACCGTGTGGTGCCCCGACGGGAGAGCGAAGTGTGAAATTCGCTTCAGCTCTTTATTCAGGTGTAATTTTGCCTTTGCTCTTAATGAGCTTTGGATGAGGAATTACCCCGAATTAAACAAACAAACAACACCGCCGTGCTCGTTCCCAAAAGGCCGGCAGTCACAAGGCGTGATTTTCTAATAAAAGTTGGGTTTTGCCTTCTGCTTGCGGGGAAAGCGAGGGGAAAAGCGCGTCCTTTGGGAGAGGAAAGCTCCCGGGATCCACAGCTCCGACACCGTCCATAGGGAGACGCCGGCTCCGGCAGATCCCTCGTGTCCGGGACAAACGTCGGATCCACCCGGACAGACAGAAGAATACGAATGTAGGGAATCTTTGTCCGTCACTTTGAAGATGTAAATGCCCGGGTATTAAATGCCATTGTTCTATCATTCTGTTTTCTGCCAATAAATAAACGTAAAAATCCCCTTCCCGCGTACATACAAATGCGAAGAGCTCTCCCCAGGGCTGCCAGCTCACATCGGGATTTTGGGGAGAAGTTCCCATTGGTTTCATGGAGAAAATTGTTAAAATCGCACATGTACAGCAGTGGAGCTGTTGCAGGGCAAATGTCCTGGGCTTCCCAAATCGCGATATCCGACCCTTGTGTCATCTGAGCAGGGATGTAAGAAATGGAGCATTTTCACCATTACATTTCGTTTTAAAACAAATGGACAATTTTGGGGAAGGAAAATCACAAGTGTGAGAAAGAAATACAGTTTTGGGTTTCCTGTTTTAGTCATAATGGGCTTTTCTTTTCTTTTCTTTTCTTTTCTTTTCTTTTCTTTTCTTTTCTTTTCTTTTCTTTTCTTTTCTTTTCTTTTCTTTTCTTTTCTTTTTCTTCTTTTTCCCCCTATGGTTGATGATTTTATTCTGTATCTTTTTTATCTTTTTATCTTTTTTATCACCTGCTTTGGCAGGGGGGTTGGACACGATGATCCCTGGAGGTCCCTTCCAACCCCTACAATTCTGTGATTCTGTGATCTTTTTGGGAAAGCACTCACCCTCTGTGTGTGTGTTTGAGTATTCATGTTTTGCATCGTCTTTTACCTTCTCTCCTGCTTTGCCTATAAACTTGTATTATTTCAAACAGCTTGGCAGCAAACTGGAGAGCAGTTTTACTAGAAATGCTGACTGAAGTCTGACCGGACAGCATGCATCCGAAACAAGAGGTTTATCGCCAATTCCTGGCTAGAAAGGGCAGCTAAAGGACAAGAGGAGTTTTAGACTTTCCTCTGAGTTTGAAGAGCTAAGCTAAACTTAACTTGTTATTCCCTAAAATTACAAAAAAACGGCGTTTATCCGTTCACTTCTGCAATCGGGGCGGGAGGAGGAGAGCAGCCGGAGCGGTGCTGCCGTATCGCTGGAAATTTGCGTTTTTGCTTCGGGGGTTTGATGGATTTGGGCAAAGGCAGAGCCCTCTAGAGGAGCAGCCCTGCTATTGCTGGGATTGCAGTTCTCGGAGGTGTGCGTGCCGCCTTCCAGCTGTCTCGAGTTGATTTCTCTCCTCCCAGCAAAGGAAACGGGTGAGAAAAGAATGCTGAATTAGCTCTAATAAAAACGCGTGTCCTTAGAAAACTCCAGCTTGCTTTCCCAAACACCGGGGAATGTGGAACAAAAATAGCTCTGGAGAGGTTGTTACACAGCCACCATGGCACAGATATGCAAACCGATGCTTAACTTTAAGTGGAGAGAAGAAAGCTTTGATGGTGTGATGGCTTAAAGAAGTTTAATTTTCTTAATGCCTTTATCCCGCGAGTAGCATACAGCATTGCCTCAGTGCATTGCTGGCTCTCTGTACAAACCTGCTGCTGCTCCTTTTTGGCATGAGGAGAGCAACGTTATGAGCTCCAGAGCTCTGCCACCGTGCTCTCCGAACAGAGAGGTCTGTGCAATGCCTGCCATGTAGAAACACACAGAGAAGTGGCCAGCGAGGTGCCAAGATGGAAAACTGAACTCATTTTCCAGGTAAGAGGCTGGGGCTGCTGTCCAAACAGATTCAGAGTGGGGTTTGAGCAATGCTGTGGGATTACTCTGATTCCTGAGTCACTGGGACATTTGTGAGCAGGGCAGTGAGGTCTGACAGGTCAAGGAGCCCAGGGCATGTGGGAGCTGGGGCTGAGGCTCATCCCCCCCAGCTGAGATTAGGTGCTCTCCTTTCTAGCGAGCTGCCTTTGAAAGTGGTGCAGGTCTTCCTGAAGAAAAGTGCTGCAGGAGAGCAAAGTCGTCCCTGACTGGTGTTGTGTTCTGATTCCTATGTGCTGCTCCTTGTCGTTCGTGTGGGAAGTGCTTTTCTCCCTGATGGGAAGGCATTGTCTTTGCCTCTAAGGCCCTCTCCTCTGAGCATGTAGGTACAGGCTTAGTTGCTGTGAAGCTCAGGTCTGTACAGCTGAACACGGAAATGTGAAAACACTTCAGCCCTGAGCACCCAGCTTTGCAGGGAGAGCTGTTCCCTGCACCCACCTGGGTCTCTTTGCTTCCCAAGGATGCTGAGCTCTAGCCATGGGTGTTAGAGCATCAGGACCTAACAGCCTGTATTGGTGCTGTTGGCTTTTCTAATGCGAGAGAGCCCAGAATCTCTTCAATGGCTCCAAACTGCTGCAGTGAAGCAGGAACCACAGGTTTGATTTGGTTTGGTTTGGCTGCATTTGCAATATAAGTCTCAGTTTCTCCCTAAGGCTGGCAAGAGGCGAGGCAGGAACTCTGTAGCCCACATATAAAATAATTCCCATGTGCAGATTGTATCTTCTCCAGAGTCATCCACAAAATTGGGCATCCCCATAAGGGACAACAAAGGGAAATTATCCTTTCTCTTGCAGTGGTCCAGGACTGTGGCTCCACTCTGTTTCTTCGGTGATATCAGAAAGGAGTTGAATGAGAACTAATCAAATTAAATTTAAAGGCCATGCATTGTACCACTCCCTTGTTTACAGCAAAGCCTGTCCCTTCCCAGGCTTTTTATGTTACACACATTAATCTGCTCTATGCCTTGATTCTGGGAAGGGTGTTTGATATTCTTCCCTCCCTGTATCCAGTCATCTATTGGACTGTCACCCAATGATAAGATCAGAGGCTTTAAAACTTTCTTGATTTTTCAGACCGTACAACATTTCCTGAGGAGATGTCCTCATCCCATTATTTTCAGGCTACTGACAACAGGCTCGGTTGGGTTTTGTTTCTTGTTGTTCACATTCGTAAAAGTAGTGCAAGCTGCAGACTGAGAACTGCTGAGATAGATAGCCAGCATTTTGGAATGGCAGGTATTTTTCCTTTGTGTTTAGATGGTGCTGAGTGTGATGGAGCCCATAGACTCTGCCACAAAACAAGGAGTAAGTCATACTTTAGCCATAGTTACTCAAGACTCGTGGGTGAACCCCACCACTGAAAGCAGCAGTTCTGCTGTTTCCACTTCTGTCTGTAACCTCTGTAAGGTGTTGGTCGCTGTGCTCATGATAAAAGTGAGCTTAAATAGATACCTTGGGAGCGAGGCTGTTGAAAGTGGGAATCACAGGGTTTGTGGGGGTGAGGGGATAGGGTCAGGCTTCAGGAGATCTGTGTGTCACAAGTGATTTTACCAAACTGGGAGTGAAACCTGAATTTTAGGAGAGAGAGGAGACAGAAGGAAGGCAGCTGTTTGCAGCAGGATCAAGCACACGCTGCAGGTGTTCAGGAATGCATTTGCAGAAGCACTTCCTGCATAAAGCTGGAAGCTGAGCTGGGTTGAAATAAAACAGTGTATTTGTATTTTCTGTTTTCTTGTTCTTGTTGCATAATGGGATATTTGAAATGGGGAGTTTGAACTAGTTGACCTTTTATGTCCCTTCCAACCCAAGCGATTCTATGTTTCTAAATGGAGATTGCTGCTCTAGGCTGGTTGCCCTATACTGATGACTACTGGAGAATAATGTGAAGGCCAACATCTTCTGGTCTTAATTTATCTGAGCATGTCTGCTCTGCCCTGGAATGAGTAATGGAAGTATTTGAAGGTAAATTTCTGGTTGGGTAAGGTAAAAATAATCAAAATGATTGCTAGATACAGGCAGTAGCCACCGCCATCACCGCCATAAGGAAATGGAAGAGTATTAAATTGATATTTCTTTTCCATGTTTGTTTGGGGAAGATTATTATCAGGTGCTGGTGAAAGAGCATTTAGTGCTCCATTAATAGCTAAGGACTAGGTTAAATGGCAACCACATAAGTCAAATATTTTATAATTAGCCAATCAAGGTAATTTATAGTCAAGAGTTTCAGCACTCTTGGAATGAGAAACATGTTGGGCCATTTCTGCTGATATATCACTGTGGGACATTGGAGAGATTTTAGAGGACTAAGAAAACTGGTATCTGCTTGTTATTTAAAAGGACTGAGCAAATGGTGTGGGGAATACCAAGACTGTTACCTTGTCGCTGTCGCAAGAAAGAAATAGTGGACGCATCACTTGGTTTGTGATTTAAAAGGACATGAAATTAATGCATTTATAGCAAACAAGCCTTGTCAAATCAATTTGCTCTTGCTCTCCAGTAAGAATAAGCAACTCCTCAATGTTACTGATTTCTGAAAGCAT